TCCACCATTAAGACCTAAAACATGATTAAATATATTTCTTGAGAAAAAGAAATCATTCTATTAACATACATGGATTTGATGTACATACATCATATGGTGTTTCACATGAAGTACCTAGAGAAAAAAAAAATAAGTAAATATATTATCAAAACAAAAAGAAAAATTTCGAATGCTTACCAGTAAAACCAGGTTCGCATGTACATTGATATAAAATAGAATTTATATTATGACATGTACCTCGTACACATGGATTTGAACCACAAGGTGAAATAATTTCACAACTAAAATTATAGATTATAATAGAAAATAGAATAAAGAATTATTTTGAAACATACTAAACACCATAACGTCCAGATGTACATTGGCAAATTTGTTGACCAGTCAATTGATTAACAATACATGTTCCATTGCCTTGACAAGGATTATTTGGACAATAAAGTACTTGTTGTGCACATCTTACACCTGTATATGATGGTGGACATATACATGTATAATTTGTTAGAGATAATGTTAAACATGTTGAATTATTTAAACATGGATTAGAAGAACATGGTAAGAATGGTATATCACAATTAGGACCAGTCATTGATAATGGACATAAACATTGATATCCACCATTTGCAAGACTTACACATGTTCCTGTTCGACAAGGATTTACTGAACAACCAACAGATGTTATTTCACAACGAGAACCTATAAAAATTTTAAATTTAAATTAATTTAATATCGATTTCTAATTAAAAAAGAATTACCTGTAAATGATATTGGACAAATACATTGCCAGAATGGATAATTTCCTATGGTTACACAACTACCACCATTTATACAAGGTGATGATCGACATGGTTCATAAATTTCACAATTTGTTCCATAGAAACCCGAATTACAAAAACATAAATATGATCCATAGGAATTTAAACATCTACCACCATTTGCACAAATACCTGGAATTGTTGTACATTCATTTATATCCGCACATCTTAAATTGAAGAAAAAGAAACAAATTAGAATAATTATTCAATTCTATTCTCATTATTATACATACACTCCCATAATATATTGAAATCCAACTGGACAATTACATGTATATGAATAATTTCCATTTGCAATACAATTACCATTTAAACAAGGATTTGTTTGACAAGCATTGATTTGACATAATGCACCAGAATATGCATATGGACATTGACATTGACAAGTTATTGGTGATGTTACTAATGATGTACCAGCTGCACATGGATAAAAAGAACATGGATTTATTTGAGTTTCACAATAACTTCCATTGAAACCTGCCGGACAAGCACATGTATATGTTGTAGGACCAGTTCGTACACATGTACCACCATTCCTACATGGATTGGATACACATGCATCATATGTTGTTGCACATGTTGTACCACTAAAACCATCTGCACATACACATGTATAATTAGTAGAATTTGCTGCTGATACACATTGTGATAATGGTCCACGACATGGATAACTTACACAAGGATTACATGCTAATTGACAATTAACACCATAGTATGGCCATGGACATTGACATATATAATAATTTGATGTTGGTTCCATACATGTACCACCATTTAAACATGGTCGACTTAAGCATACACTAAGACCTATTTCACAATTCAATCCTGAAAATCCACTTGGACATAAACATATATATGACGATGTACTTTGTGCTACACATGTACCTAAATTTTTACATGGTTGTGATGCACATGGTGCATATGGATATTGACATTGAAGACCAGTAAATAATGGTAAACATTGACATTGTGCACTTGGTGGTGTTGTTCCAAGACTAATACATGTACCATTATTTAAACATAGTAATGATGTACATTGATTAATTAATATTTCACAATTCACACCAGCATAACCAGATTGACAAACACATTGGTATGTATTAAGTCCTTGTACACAAACTCCATTATTTAAACAAGGTTTTGATGTACATGTATTAATTAATATTGAACAATTTAGTCCAGTTGCACCAGGTAAACATATACAACGATAACCATAGATTCCATCTATTATACATTGACCATAAAGACATGGTGATGGTGAACATAAATTGATTGATGTTTCACAACGTAAACCACTATAACCTGGATTACAATCACATACATAAGTATTTGTATCGTCTAGTAATCGACATTGTCCATATATACAAGGGCATGATGCACATACACCATTAGATATACGTGTATCACAACGTAATCCACTGTAACCTGTCGGACATGTACATGAAGCTAAACCAGCTCCAAGATAATTACATGTACCACGAATACAATATGAACTATTGCCTAATCTTATTGAACATAAATTAATTGGTGTTTGACATAGAGGTCCAGTAAAACCACTTGAACAAAGACAAGTACAATTTGTTGCACTTGTTGTTATAGGTATACCAGTTCCACATGTTAATGTTGAACAATTACTTATTAATGTTTGACATATAATACCTGCATATGTTGGTGGACATATACAAATAAATGATGTTGTTTGTGATATACAAGTTCCTTGATTTAAACATGGATTTGATGAACACCAATTCATAGCTGATTCACAACGAAGACCAGCATAACCAATTCGACATGAACATTGATAACCAAGTCCATTCATAACACTTAAACATGTACTATTATTTAAACATGGATTTGATAAACATGGTTGAATTATATTTGTACAATTAACACCATCATAACCTTGTTGACATATACATTGATAACCATTTAATGCTTCAATACAAACACCATTATTTTTACATGGTAATTGTGTACAAAATGTATCTCTTAATTGACAAAATATTCCACGATATGATATTGGACATGTACAATTAAGTAGACCAGGACCAAGATCATTACATGTACCACCATTTAAACATGGTGATGATTGACATGCTTGCATACGTACAGTACATGTTGAACCTTGAAAACCATATGGACATTGACATGCATATGAACTTATTTGATTTATACATGTTCCATTATTGAAACATGGATTTGATGAACAAGCATTGATTAATGAATCACATCGTACACCAGTGTAACCAGGAAAACAATAACATTGATATGAATTAATTATTGGTATACATGTTCCATTTAGACATGGTGAACTAAAACAAGTATTTACAGTATTTTGACAGAGAGGACCTGTAAAACCAGATGAACATGAACATGTGCCTGCTGATGAACTTGTTCGTATACATGAACCATTATTAAAACAAGTCATAGCTAAACATGGATCAAGTATTACTTCACAATTCGATCCAGAATAACCTTTTATAAAATACAAATTAAATATGAAATTAAATGTAATTTTCTTTTATCTACCTGTAGGACAAAGACATTGATAACTATTTAGTATTGGTTGTAAACATATACCAGCATTTTGACATGGTGCTGATGCACATTCATTGATATCAATTTCACAACGATTTCCTGTTAAACCAGGTGGACATGTACATTGATAATTAATACCTGTAAAACTACATGTACCATTATTAAGACATGGTCCTGAACTACATTGATAACCACCATATTGACATTGCGATCCTGAATATCCATTTAAACAAGTACAACTAAATGCATTAATCATATCAACACATGTTGCATTATTTAAGCAAGGAACACTTGAACATTCATTGATATCGGTTTGACAATTTAATCCTGTGTAACCAGGTGAACAAAAACAATAATAATAACCAGGTGCAACTTCTCGACATGTACCAAAACGACATGGATTTGATGAACATGCATTAATCGTTAATTCACATTGTGGACCTGCATAACCGTATGGACAAGAACATTGGAAACCAATACTTGATACAATTGTACATGTACCATTATGACTAAATGAAAAAAAGAAAATACTAAGTATTTATATTAATTAAATATAAATTTTTAACTTACGAACAAGGACTACTTAAACATGGTTGAGTTATATTTAATTCACAATTTGTTCCCTGAAAACCACTTGTACATAAACATTGATATCCATTAACTAATGATGTACATGTAGCATTGTTCACACATGGATTACTTGCACAAAAATTAACATCATTCTAAATAAAAGTACAATTACATGAACTAAATATACTTTACGTACAATCTATTTTTTTACTTACATTACATAAAACTCCATCACTTCCTGAATAACAAGTACAAATAAATCCATTAACTCTATCAATACATTGTCCACGTCGACATGGTTGTGTTGCACAATCATCAATATCAATCTCACACATATCACCTGTGAAACCAGGTAAACATTGACATGTATGACCATAAGGTTTAATATCATAATTAACTATACATGTTGCATTATTTGCACATGTTGTTTGACTTAAACATGGATTTATTTTTTGTGAACAATCTAATCCAGAATACCATGGTGGACATAAACATATAAAACGATTGATTCCATCAATACATGTTGCATTTGACATACAAGGATTTGATGCACATTTATTTATTTGTATTTCACAATGAATACCCGTATAGGATGATGATGGACATATACAATCATAACCATTAATTTTATTTCTACAAATACCATTTATACAAGGTGAACTTAAACAATAATCCATTAATAAATGACAATTTGATCCTTGATAACCAGGTAAACATTGACATGTATAATTCCAAATTTGATCTATACATGTTCCATTATTTAAACATGGATTTGATAAACATTCATTTGATTTATTTTCACAATTTAAACCAATATAATCATCAAGACAAACACATCGATAACCATTTAAAACTGGTATACATAAGCCATTATTTAAACATGGATTACTTAAACAATAATTTATTAATGTTGAACATCTTGTTCCCTAAATATATATACACATAAGATAAAAATAATAATAATCTTATATATTTTAATTTTTCTATTTACATTATATCCAAGTGGACAATCACATTTATAACTATTAATTAATGTTCGACATACACCACCATTCAAACATGGACTCGATTGACAATCATCAATTTGAATTTCACAATAGAAACCCGTAAAACCTATACAGATAGTTTAGTTTCTTTTAAGTTTTCTTTTTTTTTAAATCAATTCTACCTGGATTACAAACACATGAAAAATTATTAAATTGATCAATACATCGTCCAGAATTTAAACATGGATTAACTGGTTCACATTCATTACGTTCTTTTTCACATTGTGTACCCATAAAACCATTTGAACAAAGACATACATATTGATTAATAAGTGATTTACATGTTCCATTATTTTGACAAGGATGTGATTGACATTGATCAATTATTGTTTCACAAAATAATCCACTGATTCCATTTGGACAAACACATTGTGGACCTAAATCTGTATTTGAACATCTTCCCCCATTTTGACACTAAAATAAAATAACATCTATTTCAATTAATCTATAAAAAAAAGACTTACTGGTTGTGATTGACAATAATCAATAATCAATTCACAATTAGCACCATGATATCCTTGAGGACATAAACAAATCAATGTTGTTCCATTTCTTGAACATTTTCCACCATTAAGACATTCAATACCAACACATTGATCTAATAAACGTCCACAATTGGATCCACTATAAACAGCTGGACATATACATTGATAACTGTTTATTAAATCTACACAAATTCCACCATTTAAACACTAAATAAAATATTTTTATTTTGTTTTATATTATGAATCCATTCGAAATTAAATATCTTACTGGTTGTGATAAACATTCATTGATATTAGCTTCACAATAACGACCCGTATATCCTGATTTACATAAACAAGTAAATGTACCTGCTATTGTTGATATACAATCTTGTGTACCTTCAGTTGAGCATGGATTTGTTAAACAAAAATTAATTATTTGTGTACATATTGAACCTGTATAACCTGCTGCACAACAACAAGTGTAACTTGTTGATAAACTAGTACATGTTCCATATGGACCACATGGTGCTGATGAACATTGATCGATAGGTGCTTCACATCTTTGACCTGTGTAACCACTGACACATAGACATGTATATGATGGAACTATGCTTGAATTTGAAATACAAGTACCATGAAGACATGGAGAACTTGCACATGCATTATTAACTTGTTCACATCGTTGGCCAGTATATAAAGGTGAACAAAGACAAATATATGTTGTACCAGTAGCAGTATATGAATCTCGACATGTACCACCATTTAAACAAGGTAAACTAAGACATTGACTAATAACTGTTTCACATCGTAAACCTGTGTATCCAGATGGACATAAACATAGAAAACTATTGATTTGATCAATACATGTTCCATTATTAAAACAAGGAGCTGGTGTACAATCATCAATATTAGTCTATAACAAATAAATATACATATTTTTAAGATCTCTTTTTTTCTTTTTAATGTTTTCTCTTATAAATATCTTACTTCACAATAAAGACCTGTAAAACCAGATTGACAACGACATGTTGGTGTCGTACCATAATTATAAACACAAACACCATTATTTCTACATGGTAAAGTAGTACATAAATCAATAGGTGTATAACAATTAACACCAGTTAGCCATGGTGGACAAGCACATATATATGAACCATTTGTATTTATACATGTAGCATTTGGATGACAGATTAATGGTGTTGTACATTCATTGATATCTGTTTCACAATTTGTTCCTGTCCAACCACTAGGACATAAACATGCCAAAGATACAACATTATTTATACATGTACCTATTCAATAAATACACATGTAGAATTACAAAATTCATGTTTAAAAAAACGATTAATCTTTACCATTGTGTTGACAAGAAAAATTTGAACATCCATTTACTGATAATTCACAATTAGGACCCGTGTAACCAGTTAAACATACACATCGATATTCATTAATACCATCAACACATATACCTGCATTTAAACATGGATTTGATAAACATTCATTAATACCATCTTTACATTGAAGTCCAGTCCAACCAGGTTCACATACACATTTGAACATATTGTCTACTGGAAGACATGTTCCAAATGAGCATGGTCTACTATCACATGCATTTAATACTGTTTCACAATGTTGTCCTTAAATAGAATTATTTTTAAAAATTAATTTTTTCTTTCTTTCTTTGTATTAATATTTACCTGTATGACCTAATTGACATGTACAACTATAAGCATAACCTGTCGTACCTATGACCAATTGACATGATATAGCACCCGATGCAATACATGGATTACTTGAACATGGATCATTTGGAATACTGCAATCACTTCCTTGAAATAATGGATCACATTGACAAATATAACCATTTATTGTATTAATACATGTACCACCATTTTTACATGGTGTTGTTACCAATGAACAAGAACCTGTTGATTGTGCACAAGTTAAACCTTTTAATAAGAATAAAATCATAGTTTTTTTTATCTTTTAATAATTATATCAATTTAACTAACCTGTATAACCTGATTGACAAATACAGGTATATGTTAGATTATTATTATTAATACAATTTAGTGTATGATTTGCAATACAAGGTTGTGAAAGACATGGATTAAGAAGAATTGAACAAGTTGGACCTGTGTAAATAGGTGAACAAACACACGAGAAACCTGTAGCTGTGTTTACACAAACACCATTATTTGCACATGGTTGAGAACGACAATAATCATTTTGACTATCACACAATTGGCCTGTCCAACCTTTTTTCAGAGAAAAAAAAAATTAGAATAATAAAATAAGCAAAACAATAAGAATTTGTTTTTTGTTTATAAATATACCTGTAGGACATTGACAATAAAATGAAAAATTTGCTAATACAAGGCATTGACCACCATTTCGACAAGGAGCATAATCACAAGGATTAAGTGGTACTTCACATCGTGACCCCGTATAAGAAGTTGAACATTGACAACGATATCCTGTCGTTGTTACTGAACATAGACCATTATTTAGACAAGGATTATTTGCACATGGATTTATAGATGTTTCACATAAACGACCTTAATCATAATTAAATTTTTTTCTCATTTTTTTAATATTTTAAATTAATTATACTTACCAGTAAAACCAGATGGACAACAACATGAACCATTAAAACAAGAACCACCATTAAGACAACCTGTTAATACAGGACATTCCGGATCAAGAAATGATGAAATATTTTTCATTAGACAAGTATTTGCTGGATACCAACCAGCTAAACATGTTTTTACACCATTTGTATTACAATAAAAATGACCTTCACTACATGAATTTGGTGCAATACATAATGTATTACAATTAAGACCATAGTATGTTGGTGGACATTGTTGTTGTTGTTGTTGACAATATAATCCTGTATATCTAAATTTAATAAACATTATTTTCATCAAATAGTTTTACAAATTCTATATCATAGTTATTACATACCCAGATGCACATGTACATACAAAATAAGATGAACGTAAAGATGGATCATATGCTGAAGTACATACACCACCATTAAAGCAATTTACATTTATAGTACATGTTGACAAATATTGACAATTCAAACCAGTAAAACCTTTAATTTTCAATAGAAATAAAATTAATATATATATTTGTAGATAATAATAGAATTGAGCTAACCAAGTGGACAACAACATGTCGGTTGATTAGTATTATTAAATGCTCGACAAAATCCACCATTACTACAGGACAATGCTTAAAATAAAAAATAATCGACAATAATTTAAGAAAAACAAAATTTCATTCCTATTTAATTATACCACTAGCTGCACAAACTGGTTGAATATATGCTGAATCTCGAAGTGCACAATCAGTGCCATACCATCCTGATGAACAAACTTTAGTACCTGCTGTTGGATCACATGTATATGAACTTGTACAATCATCATTTGGAATACATCGAACAGAACATAGATTTCCATAATATGTTGCTTGACAATAAGTCTTCATGCCAATAGCCAAACTAGATATGTTATAGAAATATTACATTTCAATTCAAAAAGAAATAAAAACATACCTATTCTTGTCTGTTCCATTTCTTGTTTCATCATAAACTGTTTGACTTTGCAATACTCCAGCTGTTACTGATGGATATGATGCATCAGTTCGAAATACAGTACTAAAACGACTTAATAATGTATTTTGATTGACTATTGATAAAGGTCCGATTCTTATATAATCATAAAAGATAAAAATCTTAATATTGATAGAATTCTAATAAATAAAAATCAATTAAAATTATTATGAAAAATACAAAATTCAATACACATACATCAGGTGTTAATATTAATGGAAATTGAAGAGGTAAAAGTGGAGCTATTTCTGGTATTAAATGATAATTTACAGAACCGGTATTATTAATTATTGTTTGAAATGATTTCGAACCTAATGGACAATAAGTCCAATTGGTTACTAATCCACTAAAACAAAAATAAATTAATTTCATTTTTATAATAATTAATAAACAATTTGAATTAATAAAAAAATGAGTTTTTGATCCTTATAGAAATAATTTTTCTAGAAAAGAAAAACAAAATACAGGTAAAATATTATAATACAATTATATGTCTATAAATGACTTTTGATCATAAATGATTTTTCAATTTATTTATCAAATTCTTTTATGATTACGTCAGCTGAACTTGTCGAACTTCTAAGAACTTTTTCTTCTAGAAAATTATTCATGTAAACAGAATTCTCAAAAATTCATAATAAACTATATTTGTATGAAATCAAAAACATACCTATAGACAAAATCTAAACAAATGACAGTATATAAATTACAGGATGATATCGATGCACAACTTCCGGAATAAACTGTACCATCACAACATTGCCCAGCGACAGTAATACGAGAAATAATAGTAAATTGAGATAAATCAACAACTAACATAGAAGGTGTTTCTTGACAATGGATCTATATAGTTAAGAAAAAAATTAATAAAATTGAAGGAAAAATGAGAAATTTTTTTTTGATTCGAACATGCTGTTTCTTTTATTCTCAATACAAACAAATTATATGTGCACATTTAGTTGTAATCAGTGATTCAGTGAAGCGCAATATAATTCAATAGTCTTTTAATTCTTTTATATCTACTTGATTTAAAGAAACATCATCGAATATATATAACTTAGATTTCTGTCTTAAAAATCGAGAAGAAAAATGTTAATTTACCTGTTCATTATTGAACAATAATAAAAAAAATATGACTGATATACTTGTAGTAGACAAATAGATGTGGTACATAGTTAATCTAAAATATGATAGAAAAATTCAAGTATATATTTTGAAATAATAATATATAAGTGGATAATATTTATCACCACCTATTCTTGATTATAGAAAGTATTAGAAATGAAAAAATGAGTATTAATTTTTTCACCTTATACATCATTCATGGTCAGATATTTAAGAAAAAGATGAATGAATGAAAGAGACAGAAGCCGAACATTTTTGTCACGTCGTTCTCTTTTAAGTATGAAGTTAGTTATTGTTTCGACATTAAAACAAGAACAGCAACAACGATGAAATAACGCCTTCTGACTTCTATCGTTATCCAAATGAGTTTGTATTTATGAGGTAGAAGTTGATGGCAAAAGTATATATTCATTGAATGAATAGACGATAAGTCGGAAGAAAGGGAGAGAGAGCGAGAGAGAGAGTAACTGAAAAATGGTATTGTGCGTGTCAGATCATTATCGTGCCAATAAGTTGGTTTTTGATTGTATATAAATGGTTTTTTTTCTTTCTCTCTCCCCTTCTCTCTTTCTTTGTATGAAGTGACGATTTTGTTTGTGTTCCTTTTCTCCACTCTATTGAACTTTTATTCTTTTTACCTTTCTTTTTCGTACTATTATAAGGACATATATAAACGATATTTTGTCCTATTCTGTGATAAATCTCATGTAGTAGTAGAACTTCACCTACACATAGACTCTTGTATGAATCAAATTGTAGATGTCAAATATTTAAAGTATCAACATTTTCTATAATATATCATATGTTAATTCTAATTATTTGCAATTATTTTTATCCATTAGTTGATAACATAGATTTATTCATTCATTCATTCATTCCTTATGATTATTACCAATATCGCTAGTGACGTATATAGAATAAAAGAAATCATTTTCGGGCGAGTCGAAAAACACAATTAACTTCAAATTAGTCACCTACTTACGAAAAGACATGACATATATGGACTAATCGACTAATAAATAGATGATCAACGTATATTACTCTATTGTCTCTATTTGTAAATGTTGGTGTCAATGAATAAATATCTGCTTATATACATAATGTGTCATTTCTTAATATTTCATTCAAATAGATTTATAATTCAATGATTATTCATTTACATGCAAACTGATGTATTTTGTTTTATGTCATATCAAACTGTTAACATGATTCACAACTTTAATATTCTATTCTGATGATGTGAATAAGAGTGTTAATATAAGCTAAACGTAATATTCAGTCAAATCATTAGTTGCATTAGTCATTCATCTCGTTTGTTTTTATAAAATATTCATCCCTTATCATCTATGAATACAAAATAATTTATCTTGGAAAAAAAATAAAATTTATCAATTAATTTTTCTTTAAAACTAATCACTCGATTCCGTATGTTTTTTCGAAATGATATCAGTATAAAAACTATTTTAGAAACATCTTACGAAATAAATAAAAACGAAAGACATATAGGCAACTGCAAAGATTAATTTATAGTAGGATAAACTATGTCGATCTATATTCTTAGATTTAACAAAAAGTATATATTATTATTATTTATATTTTAACAAATTACAAAATAATAAATATATGTACATAAAACAATTTTTTTGTTAGTTAAAAAATATTTTCAGTTAAAGAAAATCATTTATTATGAAATAATATACTATTCGAAGCAAAGGTTTTTACTACGTAGAAATATATTTCTATCATTTATTGTTGATACCATTTTACTCATAGAAAGGAAAATAAATCTATCTAATAGCCTGTTTTTGTCGTACGTCAATTAGCAAATATTATAAAAAGCAAAATATATATTTAAAGTCATGTATATATGTCTGCACGTAGAATCATTAAAGACAAAACCAAAATAATTTTGAGCAACAACAAGACACATCATAACGATGGAACATAATTCAAGTGATAGCAATACTCGTCAAGACTCATTGACAAATCAATTATCATATGAAACAGAGTTGACCAATCAGTAAGTTCTATATTCTTTCAAAAAATGATGATCATCTAATGTTTATATTGTATTTAAGACCAATATCACTCGTACAATATTCTCAACAATCAATCACTAGTACAGATTGTAAAATATCAGTTGAACATCAGCATGATCAAATTCTACCGCATCAACTTGAAAATGCTATTACTGTACCCACACGTCGTTTAAATGAGTCAAAGCAAATTTTAATAACCATCACTTCTAAACTTCAACGCTTTTTCATTATTTCTGGTATCATTTATTTACTATGGGGAATGTCATTGATCAGTGTAGAAACAGCTATAATTATGTATAATATATCAGCATTTTATCGAGGTTTATTTATAGGTATCTTAGTATTAGCTACAGGAATTAATCTATTAGTTGTTGCAAATACAATATTTTATTCTATAAATTATCTAATGCGATTATTATATGTAACTCTTGCCTTCGCCCTTTTTGGAATCGGTACGTGTGTTATCGATTTGGTATCATCAGATCCATGTAATGATCATAAAGATGATCGCACATCTTTGTGCGACACAAAAACTGCAACTAAATTGAAATTGATACTTTTGGCTCAGTCTATGATTGTTACAATTTATACTGGAATCATTATAAAATTTGCTAAACGTATACGAAAAAAAGCAAAATCAATATCATCAAATTCAAGTACTTCACATGATCATTACTGAATAAGAATAGATCTTAAGTACAAACAAACAATTAAAAGAAATGAAATATCTATCATTTATTGATAACTACACAACTAAACAAATATTTATTGTTGCTGTGCATTGTAATTTCACATATACTTTGAAAAAACAACACGTTCATTAAAAATAAATACTAAATATTTTTCTTATTTTTTATGATGTATTTAATTGTTGTCAGACTTTGTTATCACCTCATAACATCTGACATGATCATGTTTTCTTTGACAAACATCTATCAAAAGTCATTATTGTCAATATCAAATAGCAATGATCCTATTGTTTAACATCCATGTAGATTGAGCAATAGGTACTAGTGGAGAAAAAGAGTCTAACGCTTTCTTTTCTTATTATTTCCAGTTGTGTGATCTATTGCCTAGATTAATAATGAATTTGTACTGAATTTTAATTAAATGACTATGACAGTACCTTTTTATATGAAAATGTATTTTTTATTTCACGAAATATGAAAACACTTGATTTTGATAATTGTTATTTTTTGAACATTTTTAATGATTAGAATATGTAGGTTAAGTTATATTCTACTGATCTAACCTTAAGATGTCACTGTTTTGCCATTCATGTGTTCGGTATTACAAAAGAGATATTTGTTATTTGCCAGTATTCGTATGAAAGTGATTCATTGTAGACACACCTTATCGTTATTACCAAACGGAGTTGATAAGAACATAAAGCGCCATATAAAATTGAATATTTCTTTTTTTTCACATGTTCTTAGATGCTCTTATTCTTTATTCTACTTCTTTCTTACTAATCGAAGAAAATAATATAAGATTAATCTGAATATTTAGATTTATTTTAAATATTTTTTTTAATATGACATTTCATCAAGTTGAACATCCGCTCTTGGTCATTCCAGGACCGATCGAGGTTAGTGATGATGTTTTGTTTGCTAATGCATCACCATCTCAATCACATATGTCAAAAAGTTTTACAGAAACATTTGGAAATACAATTCGAATGTTTCGACAAGTACTTGTTACGGAACGTGGACAACCAATTATTACAGCTGGTAGTGGTACACTTGGTTGGGATATGATAGCATCTAATCTAACTGAGCCTGGAGATGATGTACTCGTATTAAATTCTGGATATTTTGGTCAAAGTTTTTCTGATTGTCTTGAAGCATATGGTGCCAAAGTAACTCACTTAAAAGCACCAATTGGACAATGTCCATCACGAGAACAATTAGCTGAAGCATTAAAATTTAAGAAGTATAAAATGGTGACAGTTACACATGTGGATACATCTACTGGTGTTCTAAGTAACCCACAAATGGTGAGTGAAGTAGTACGACAAGTAAGTCCTGATACATTGGTCATAGTTGATGGCGTATGTTCAGTTGGTAGTGAAGAAATTCGTATGGATGAATGGTCATTGGATGTAGTAATGTGTGCTAGTCAAAAAGGTTTAGGTGTACCACCTGGACTTTGTCTTGTATGTGTTAGTGAAAGAGCTATTCAATTAGTTGAAACACGTAAAACTAAAATAAGCGCATACTTTGCTTCTTGGCTCAATTGGTTACCTGGTAAATTTGAATAGTTTATTAATGAATTAACTAACATTTTTTGTTTGTTGTTTCAGTAATGCGTGGTTATGAACAAGGCAAACCAGTATATTTTGCAACACCTCCAATTCAACTCATATGTGCTCTGTATACTAGTTTGAAAGCAATTACATCAAGACCTATTGAAGAACGTTGGTCAAAACATAAGGAAGCTAGTCTTGATTTCAAACAATTTGTGACAAATGAACTTGGATTAAAACAAGTAAGTTTTGTTCTAGTTAAATTATGTTAATCTTTTTAATAATTATCTTGTTCAGGTTCCAAATGATCCATCTGTTGCTGCCAATAGTATGACGGCTATTTATTTTCCTGATGGTGTGTCAGCACCAGATGTCATTCCAAAACTATTTGAACATGGTATAATTGTTGC